TCAACCTAGGCTTGGTCGGACTTCATCTCCGGTCAAGCCTTGGCCGGTTTACCAAATCCGGACAACTTATCGCCCAAGACTTGTCCGATTTAACACTTAGAATAAATTCCAACATCTTTGTCCGGATAACAAGTCCGGACAATACATCGCCCAAAGCTTGACCGATTTAAAATAATTCGGTCAGCACATGGTCGTATTCCTACTTCTCAATTCAAAATGTTAACCATTCTTATCAATCATAACTCGCTTGACACTTAATCGGTTTAAGACTAAACCGTTCAACACTTGAGCGGTTTAGGGCTTAATCGCCCAACCCTTGACCGATTTAAGAAATATTAGGACAAGCTTTGTCCGATTTAGACTTAATCCGGTCACCCTTTTTCCGGATAAAACCCTTAAACAAATACCTGATTTCTTTCCAATAATAATCAACATTCAAATAAAACCAGTAACAAATTTTATGTAAAAAAGTTTAGAAATCACTCACCTTAAAAGCCTTTTGAAAACCAACTTGATCTTTAGACAAGAAATAATCCGGTCAACTCTTTTTCTTCTAAATCGCTCAACTTTTCTCCAAAAATAGCAAGAAGATTTAATGGAGACTTAACCTCCCTTTTATATACCCTTCCCAAACAGGAAGGTCGGCTACCACATGTAGCCTTCACTCACATGCATGCCTTCATATAAAAAAACCCATGCATGCATGTAACCCATATGCACATACACATGCATCATCACATATACATATATACCTATGCATATATACACATATATCATGCATTTATATATATATATATCCAATTAATGCACAATTTCACATACTAGCATGATCAAACATATCAATTTATCATGCTGTCATGTAATCATTTAATCAAATAATCACACATTAATTACTTTGGGTGATAATCAGGATCCGGTTATCACACCGCATAAGGGAGTACCTTCGCAAGTGCAAGTATTATGCCCTACAATCCACATGAATATACTTTATTTACATAATTTTTGTATAGCAAACTACTAACAATCAGAAAAGTGTAACATAACTACTAATAATTAGAAAGAGGTAACATACCTTTTGTCTGTCTAAGATAAAAGTGAAATTTGAATTTGAGGTTAGATCTAGATCATCTCCCAAACAACTTAAAAACCATGTCCATAAACTGTTGTTTCAGACTCAACAATGGCATATGCAAGAGGGTAAGTACCATTATTTGGATCAATTCCAACAGCTATCAGAATCTGTCTAGGAAATGGACCCTTCATGAATGCTCCATCCAGCCCCAAAAAGTCTCTCATTCCATCTTTAAACCCCTTCTTCAGTGGCCCTAAACATACATACACCCTCTTAAATCTTCTTGTTTCCTTAATGGTTGTATCTTCATTTGTTTTTTGAACTCCAAGCATGTAGTCCCTCAATGTCTTGTATTCCTTAGCATAGTATCCACACAGTTTATTCAAGGTCGTTACCTTTTTTCTGTATGATTTCATCCTTGAACAGTTTTGGTCATATCTTTTCTGTGTATCTGGTAGGTTATGTCACACACCTTTAGACAAATTAAATGAGCCACATAACAAGTATACAATATGGCCCAATATCGTCTTTCCAAGTAATAAAGTGGTAAAATACCGGTTATCGTCCACGAAGATTGTAGCAAAAGTCTAATGAGAGTCCAATGAAAGAGATGATTTCAGATGATGAAATTGAAGACTTCAGTTTGATTCTGAGTTAACAATGATAATATAACAAAATATAAAGGATAGCAAGGGTGTAAGACTTAAGGTGAAACGTAAACACAAATTCCAGCAGACAATGTTGTAGAAATGCTACATCATACAGTAAGCCATAACTAGTTCCACCATCTATTTTGAAGGTATTCCTCTCGGACTTCACCTTTGCACTATATTATAGCTTTCCACCCATATCTCTATGTGGTATCTAGACCAGGGATAGTGACAAAATCGTGTCTTCAAAATATACGGATAAACAAATCTCTTTGTTAAAAATCACTCTTTCGAGTCGATTCCCATATCATTCAAGTTGGCATGTGTTCTAGATAGTTCATCTTTAAATCTGTCGCACTTTGATACTGTTAAAGAGTGACCAACCTGTCGGGAGTTAAGTTTGAAAGACATAAATGACAAGTCTCCTTGTCGGTAACTTTTTTAAGTCTACCTCTCATATCATTCAAGCTGACGTGCATTCAATGACTTATCTCTAAGACCGTGTCACTTTAACACTTTCAAAGTGATCAACTCGTCAAGAAGTGTACTTGGTTTTTATAAAACTTGAATGAAATAGTGGAATATTGCTATTGCGCAACATCGTCCACTTACATTCGGTTTAACATTTCACCCTTTATCTTACACCCAAACTAATGAAATTAGCTACTCATTACGGCAAATAAATGACATAAAATGTGAACAATGGAAATTAAAGACATTGTGACATCCGTCACCAAACCAGGTTAGTCAACCGTAACTCGAAACCTAACGTTAGCCCTTTTAGTAAATTTATGTGCTCACATGCTTCCTGAAACATAAGGTGTGAAATTTTAGGAGTTGGGTGGGTTCATTTTTTCCCCTTAAGTACTCTAGTCATTCTAATAGTAGAGGAAAGCTAAGTGTTCATAATTCCTAAGTTGAATTTCTTTTTCCGAGTACATAATTGGTCTATACAAATGTTTTATGTGCATTGTACCGGTGACTAAAAGCCTTAAGTAAATGAATTGAGTTAATAATGTTAACTAGTTAGGTTGTTTAAAAAAAAACTAAAAAAAA